GGTATAGACAAGGCCACATATTGCCTATACAATGGGCATGGTGAGCAGATTTATTTTCAATCCAAGAAAAGAATACTGGGAGGCGGTAAAGTGGATTCTCAGATACCTTAAGGGTAAATCGAAGATATGTTTATGTTACGGGGAAGTTAAACCAATTTTGAAAGGCTATACAGATTCAAATATGACAGAAGATCTTGATGGTAGGAAATCTACATCAGGATTTATTTACACTTTTGCAGGAGTAGTAGTGTCATGGCAGTCAACGTTGCAGAAGTGCATAGATTTATTCACAACAAATGCAGAGTACATTGCTGCAGCGGAAGCTGGTAAGAAAATATTGTGGTTAAAGTAGTTTCTCCAAGAACTAGGTATTAAGCAAAAAGAATACAAGGTGCATTGTGATAGTCAAAGTGCTCTGAACTTAAGCAAGAACTCAATGTACCATTCTCGGACAATGCATATTGATATTTGTTATCATTGGATACACGACATGATGGAGCAGCAATTATTGAAACTAGTGAAGATCCACATAAAGGAGATTCCAGCAGACATGTTAACAAATGTCATTACTCGGGAGAAGCTTGAGATGTGCAGAGACATAGCCGAGATGAATGTCTGATTACATTTTCTTCTAATGGTTCTGGAGGGGGAGAATTGAAGGATCCATAAACCATACCCATAGCCACCCTATGCAGTAGCCACCTTCCAGTTCCATCAATCAGTAGCCCACTCTAATAGCCACTTCTATGGACAGCTTGACTGCTAGACAGCCGGATGTATTAAATGGGTTCCTTTCTTTCTTGACTTTTTGGCCAGAAAACTCCCTATAAATAGGAAGCTTAGTGAAGGCTACAAGTATGCTCAAGATCAATGAGGAAGAAATAGAGAGAGAGAGAGATCTCATTTGTGAGAATTTTGTATAAATTCTTGTATTTATTTTCAGAGAGAAATAAAGATTCCTCTTCTGTTTGTATCTTGTTTGTGGTGTATTTTCGGGTCTGGGTAACCAACAGTGTATGCTTGTGTGTGCTCACCAATGGCTTTTCCAAGGCTTTCTGAGTTGTTTGTGGATAGAATTATTTGGCAGCACACTTCTATCGGTGAGCAGATGTGTCTTATGCAATGTGGCGACTGAGTCAGCTTCTCATCTCTTTATTAGCTGCAAGTATGCAAGTGCTATATGGCTTAAACTTTCAGAACTGTTGGGACTTCAGGTCATTGCTACTGAAGAGCCAATTACAAGGCTCATAAGGCTTATTCAAATAAGGTCAAAAGCTACATCGTAATTTTATTTTTATGATAATAATGCATCATTAGAGGCTGCAGGTTTTTAATGTTGAACTTAAAGCAATGGACTCAGCTCAAGCAACATCTTTACTTCAGTGACTCAATGTGGTTTCAGCAACTTCCATCTCTACGCAAGTTAAGTGGATTAGCTGGAAACTACCTTCAACAGAACTGCTTAGGCTGAATATTGATTGGCCATCTCCCCATTTTGAATTCTCCTTGAAGCTTGCAGTTTTTGCGCAGTGCTATCTCTACTGGATAGGCATTCTGCCTTGTCCAGACCTATGAGGCAGTAGGATTATTCTATTTATCTCTTATGTTTGAAATTTATTGTAACAACATGAATTTTCAAAATTTTCCAATCTTGAATTTAGATGCATTTAGGGGTAGGGCTCATATGTCCCCCCCCCCCCCCTACCCAAAAAAAAAAAAAACTAGGTGTAATTTTTTCTAGAAATTAATAAAATCCTCCCTCATACCGTCAAGGTATTTTTACTAGTTATTGAGATTTTAGTTAAGTGATATAACTTATTAATGTGTGTATTTGGTAGTATGTTGAACAATATGGTGTGTGGCTATGATTAATGATGTATGTAAAACATTTATCTTGCTATAGGTGTTATTTGATGAATTAGTGGATGTGTTGGGATAAAGAATTTTAATTTGTATTTTATTATATAAGATATTATAAAGCTAATATTTAGGATATAACTTGAAGTGATTAACAAATATGTCTTTTTGTTTTTATTTTCATAATTTAGTAAACACAAATGACTCTCAAACGTGTTTTTTGTTTTCAGTATTTACTACAAAACAAAACAAAAATTATCTCTGTTTTTAATTTTTTTTAAAACACGAAAACAAAAATGTTATCATACAACCCCTAAAAATTCTGATCAAATACAAGTCATGATATAATTTGAACGAGTCAAAATGAAGGCAAACATGAGTCAACCTCGAACTTTTCGAATAATTTGAAAGCCCAACCAACTGGCTTAAGCTTTTCTTTCACAAAACACAAGGAGGGCAAATAATCCAATGAGCCCGAACAAACTCGAGCTGAGTTTGTCAAGCTCATTTTTTTTAAACGAACTTAAGAAATTGTTCAAGTTCGTCTCATTTTAAAAAAATCAATCTAAGCGAGTCAAGCCTAAACGAGTTCAAAATGAGTCAAATTTGAGTCGAGCCTGAGTATTTTGCACATAAATAAATCGTACCGAACTTGAACGAATCCAAAACAAGCTAAGCTCGAATAGCTCAGCTTAATTATCAATCTTAGCTACAAGTGTTAGAGCATCAAATTCAAAACTAATTAGTAATGGGTGAAGACCCCGGCCAAGCATATAAATCAAATCTTAAACGATCCTAATCTTGAACGATCCACAAGTGTTCGGATGCAAATGTTAAACACTTCGTTATTTTAAACTCCAATCTTTGACTTGCATTAATTTAGTCGCCAAATGTTTGATTTTGTGTTTAATTGGTACAATCATATGCTTTTGTGAACATGATAAAAGTATGTTATTTTATTTTGCGTACAGAAAGACTATTTTCGTAACTCAAATTCGTGACACTCAAAATATAAAAGAGTAAAATTATTACTGGGTTTAGGCCTACCCCATTTAAATGTGCACTTATACACGATGATAAATTCAATCAAAGGTCGAATTGAGAACTCGATCACCACCTCCATCAGGTTGAAGGGTTTATTAATGTAATTTTCAACCATATGTTCAATTATATGACACAAATGTTCATTCGACATCAGATTTTGGCTATGTGACCCACACGTTGATTGTAATAATTCATGACTGGCAAGTAGAGGTAGCAATCTTAACCCATTATTCATTAATTTGTCCAATTTGTCCATAAATAAATGGGTTGGGTACCTATATTAATTAATATGGGTTCTAAATGAATTGAGTAATATGATTCATTTTAATTAAACGGGTTAATATGAATTATAAATGGGTACCTATTAGGTTAAGTATTTATCTTTTTATTAAATAATACAAATAATAAAATTAAATAAATATATTAATATATCAAAAAATACACACATATACACTAATACATCAAAACATACACACACTAATACACCACCCACGACCTGTGGGTTAACCCATGGGTCAACCCACAACCCCCATGGGTCGACCCACAAACCAACCCATTGCACACAATCAACCCGATCCATTGTGTGTGTTTTTTTTATTAAATGTGTTTTAGTTTTTGTGTTAATATACATGTGTATTTTTTGGTGTATTAGTATGTATATTTTTAGTGTATTAGTTTGTGTGTGTTTTGGTGTATTAGTGTGTGTGTATGTTGTATTTTTGTGTACTACTAATGTGTGTGTTTTGGTATACTAATATGTGTCTTATGCTCCGTTTGGCAGGAATTATAGAAAGTAAGAAGGATGAAAAATAGGAGAGATACACTTTCTATCTTTCAAGGATGGAAAGTAGGAATTATACACTTTCTTTCCTTTGTGTTTGGTTGGATGGATGGAAAATAAAAATTACTAATTTTTATTTATTTATTTTATTTTGTGATGGCTAACATCAAGGTTGACAATCGAGTCGTGTCGTATCAGATTCATATTGAGTCACAAAATTATGAGTCTTTTATATTTCTTATTCACGTGTCAAGTCATTTTCAAATTCGTGTCGAGTTATAATCAAGTTCGTGTTATAAAATTCGTGTCGAGTTCGACTCGTATCATCGTGTTGATTCAAAATGATTTTTTTATTTTTTTATTATTTATATATATATATATATATATATATATATATATATATATATATATATATATATATACATATTTTATCATTGTATTTTTATATAAAATTAATGTATACATAATATATATACAAATAAGATACATCTCAACACAAATAATTAATTTTTCATCCATTTTTCGTCCGATTTTAGAGGGATTGATTTTAGTGACTAGGAAGGAAAGTTAATTCATCCATTTTTTCATCCTTCCTATTTTGCATCCTTACCAAACATAATGTTTTATTTATCCCTTCAACTTTTCATCATTCGAACTTTTCATCCTTCCATTTTTCCATCATACCAAATGGAGCATTAAGAATTTTAATAATTTAATAGGTTAATCGATTTAACTCAATCTGTTATAAACTCAACTAATTATAACTCATTTACTACGTGAGTGAAAAATAAATTGAATTTATTTTAGGTCAATCCAATTTAACTCAACTCATAACAAACTCAATCTACCCATTTGTCACCTCTACTGACAGGTAAAGATAGATTCAATAATACTACTTAGACTTAATTTGTTGATTTGTAATTTATCGTAACCATTAGATTGATAGCAGATCCCAATAAAAATACTAGCGTCCACTATCAGTTCAATCATGAAACGAAGAAGAAACTAAACCACTGGATTGACACCCTAATAGTGGTATCTTTGCTACAGGCTGTGAAATCAGATTGTTGTAGTTAAATACCTGCTAGTTTGGCTCTACTTAGCTTTCATAGAGCGATTTAGACAATAAAAATAATTCATTTTTCGTCGGTTTATCCAAAGTAGGTAGCAGTTGTAGAAAGTTGATTTGTATTAAACAATAAAAAGGCTCTTTGTTCCTTGATGTAAACGGCCCATGTGCGTTGTTGAAAACTATAAAACGGAGTCCACAAAGAATTGCTTTTATTTCTAAGTTGAATGTACACCTTGCAACTTTCAATAACAATTCTGCATTATTGCTCTATTTACAAGAGAATTTGTTTTGACAGGGAAACCACCTGACTAAAAAGGTATATTACTAACCTTTTTTGTTTAGTGGGCCCTTTTCACTGATACATTATATCATAACTTAATAACAAGAATCGCCCGAGTCTAATGTACATACTTGTATATGCGATAATGATTAAATTTTGTTGCATATGCATGTGTGAAACATGTATACAATGTGGTGTTTTGTTATTGAATTGTGATAACACATGTCTATGATAATGTGATGTTATATTTGTAACAAATTTGTACTCGGGACAATGACCTTAGAGATGGGTTTTGTGAATAAATATTAATGAGTTGTATAAAGTGGTTTTGAGAGTAATTAATTAGGATCCCAAGGGTGCCCTATGAGGAATACCCTTTCTTCTCCTTGCATTGGGAGGAGGTGGAGGAGGCGTGGGCGGGTATATGTCTTGATGTGAGCCTTCACGCAATTCTTCTTCCTCTATATTTACTCTTCTTGATATCCCTTCACCTCTTTGCATTACCTCCTGATCATTCTTGGCCTCTAAGGTAAATCTTCCATCCCCATTTCTCTTTATCCCTACAACCTAAGTTATTAAATAAAACAAATAAAAGACCTATTCAACTTAACATACACACTTATGACCAAAGATAAAATCAACATATAAATTAGAAAATAATTAAAATTTGATGGTGAAGACAACAATGACAACCATTACATTTCAAAAAGATGATTAATATGATGGCCAATTGGCCATTGGTGGTTAAGTGGTGAAAGCAATGGTGATGGTTCAGATCAAGTTGGGTCATAATATATGGGTATGCAAGATGGGTTATGATCATAAGTTATGGTAAATGATAACAATTGTTGTTGGTGGTGGGTTACAAATTACAATGATGGTGATGGTGATGGTGATGGTTTATGAATGTGGGACATGATTGATGAGCAATGCTACATAGACTTAAAAAATAGATTTAAAAACTATAATTAATAATCTTAATTATTAATTTTACTATAGATCCTAGTATTTATTGGGATCCACTATCTACTCAATGGTTGAAATTATCAAGTTTAATTTTTAAGTTCATCTAGTATTACTCTATGCATTATGATAAGATACTAGTTACACTTGGTAGCTCTGATTGTTTTTTATTATTATTATTTTTAAATAATGCGGAGGATGAACTACGAAGCAAAGTGAAGAAAAAAAAATGCTAACCTTACAGCCCAATGAACAGAAACGAAAAGGGTCCAAAAGGCTCCTCCCGCAGATTTCACAAATGTGAGAAGAAACCCCTTTCCCAGATTTTGGTTGAGGCCTTTCATTGAGAAACAAAACCCTAGCACTGTTTATCACATAGGTTTGAACTCCACTTATGTCCAAAACCTTTTCAATCTCTGACACCCTCACCACATCATGATATGAAGATCTCCTTATCTGCCACCAACATACCCATTACCAAAATCTCTGGAAAATTATAGCTCACAAACTGCAATAATGTATGTGTGTGTGAAGAGAGAGAGAGAGAGAGAGAGAAGAAAATCAACCCACCTGGATAACTTGATGTTCTTTGTGTTTGGATGAGCGGCAATAAAAGCAAAATGCACCATCATTGCAATCTAAGCAATACATATTGCTCTCACTCCTTGCCGCGTCTCCATGAGTCCGGCATATGGAGAAGAAAGCCGTGTTTAGCAATGGTTCTAGCCATGGAGGAACCAGCATTGTATCCTGCTTTGAACCCATGAAATGCAATACAGAGATTAGAAATAGATTATCATAATATTTGTGTGTTTTTTTTGGGGGGGGGGGGNGAGAGAAAGAGATTGTGGTTTGTAATAAATGTTACCATTATTGGTGTTGAATTTGGTGGAGTTGGTATTGAAACAAAGTGGTTATGTTGCCAGATAACTGTTGGATTCTTCTAATGATGATGTAGAATTTGCAGGGAGAATTACAGAGAAAGTTTCAGAGAGAGAGAGAGAGAGAGAAGAGAGAGGAGGGGGGTTTCTAATTTCTAAAACAACCCAAGACATAGAATTCAACAACGTAACAATGTCTAGACTAGACTAGGGGACAAAGCCTCATAAACAAGTGTGCCAATTAAACGGGTAAGATCAAACGTGGTGGCTGAGGCTTATTCTGGATCGTTGGATCTGCAGAGAGGAAGGGGATGGGTTTGGCGCTTACGCCACTTTGGATCTTCTTTGCGTCTCTGTGTGGGCGCAAAGGTCGGCCAAAAGGCTACGCCTAAAGCATTTATTAGCTGGTCAGTGAAGACGACGTCGTCCCATTGAGCCACGTGGCTGTATTGAATTGGTTCATTGAAGTGGTCCCCGCATAGGGGTTTATTGTTTTGATGTGAACGCGGGATACGTCTTATTTATTATACCATAAACACCCTTCAACTTTCCATATATTACAATGTTTGTGCTGACGTTTACATTGGTCACGAGAGGACCACCCCAAAAAAAAAAACTTAATTTTAAGTAAATTAATACAAGGTGTAGTTTATTGAATTTTTAACAATTTTTAAATATATTTATCATTATTAATATAATAAACATGCATTATTATTATTATTATTATTATTATTGCTTGGTAATTAATAAGCAGGTATTAAATAACTTATTATAAAATCCAAATCTATCTGCTGCCGGCATTAAGTTTGGTGCTTCCTGTGGTAGGTTACATCTTTGCAGCAATTATGGATGTATTATAAAAAGTCTCATCCTGTAAGGTCATATCACATTTGCATAATGTGTATATATAAAAATAAATTTATTCTAGNTGCTTGGTAATTAATAAACAGGTATTAAATAACTTATTATAAAATCCAAATCTATCTGCTGCCGGCATTAAGTTTGGTGCTTCCTGTGGTAGGTTACATCTTTGCAGCAATTATGGATGTATTATAAAAAGTCTCATCCTGTAAGGTCATATCACATTTGCATAATGTGTATATATAAAAATAAATTTATTCTAGTTCAATTTGTCTCATCTATTGACTACTATAGTCTGTACTATTCTAAATGAGTCGACTTATTACATTTGTGTCATATATTCTATATGAGAAATGTTATTGATATTGATCTGATAGTTTCATTAAAATTACATCATTATATCAGTAAATTATATCAATTTTTAATTATAAATAAGATTAATCATGCGATATACATTTGGAAAACTTTCAGTCACAATTTTTCAAATTTATCACATTTTTAAGGATACTCTTTCTATTATCTGAAAATATCATTGACACATTTTTTAGTTTATATTTTAACATCATTGACACTTCTTGTTTTTAAATCACCGTTNTCTGTACTATTCTAAATGAGTCGACTTATTACATTTGTGTCATATATTCTATATGAGAAATGTTATTGATATTGATTTGATAGTTTCATTAAAATTACATCATTATATCAATTTTTAATTATAAATAAGATTAATCATACAATATACATTTGGAAAACTTTCAGTCACAATTTTTCAAATTTATCACATTTTTAAGGATACTCTTCCTATTATCTGAAAATATCATTGACACATTTTTTAGTTTATATTTTAACATCATTGACACTTCTTGTTTTTAAATCACCGTTTCTAACAAAATTTTTTTATCTAAAATATCAAAATTACCCCTACATAATTCTAAATAATATTTTTACATAAAATTTAATTAAAATTTGACCAGATTAAAATTTATTTTTAACATGTTAAACTTCGAGTTGATTAAAATTTATTATTTTACGTATTAAAATTTGAGGTGATTAAAANTGTCTAACAAAAAAATTTTATCTAAAATATCAAAATTACCCCTACATAATTCTAAATAATATTTTTACATAAAATTTAATTAAAATTTGACCAGATTAAAATTTATTTTTTACATGTTAAACTTCGAGTTGATTAAAATTTATTATTTTACGTATTAAAATTTGAGGTGATTAAAATTCNTAAAATTTAATTAAAATTTGACCAGATTAAAATTTATTTTTAACATGTTAAACTTCGAGTTGATTAAAATTTATTATTTTACGTATTAAAATTTGAGGTGATTAAAATTCGATTCGAACAACTTAAATTTTATTTTTTTATGTATTAAAAATTAAGTCTATTAAAATTTGAACCGATTTGAGCTCTACCTAAGCTGTTATTACCGATTAAAATTTACTTCAAGTCAATTAAAATTTATATGTTTTCATTTGTTAAAATTCATGTCAATTAAAATTATATTCAAATTGATTAAAATTTGATTCGAGACGATTAAAAATGAATTTTAATCGGCTCGTATAGAATTTTAATCATTCAAATTTTAATACATAAAAAAATATAATTTTTAATTAATTCAAATTTTAATACATAAAAAATAAATTATAATTAGTTCGAATTGAATTTTAATCTACCTGAATTTTAATACATAAAAAATTTAGAAAATATAAGGGGTCTCATTGAAGATATGAATATCTAGAAAGGATGTAGATGAAATTTTTCTTAAAATATATCATGGGCAATTTAATAAAATTACATTCTAGTTAATACTTTTAATCTGACAGGGAGTGTCAGTGAAGATTCAAAAAATAGATGAGGTATTCTTGAAGATATGATAAATTAGAAAGGGTGTGCCTGAAATTTTTTCTTTTAAAAACAATGAAAAAATTTAGAATGTTGCATGAAACATGAAACAACCAAAAAAATTTTAAGAATATTTTTCTTTAAATCATAAAAATATGTATATTTAAAAAAAAAATCTTGACAAATTCTAATACAAGAAATTACAAGAATCTGCTCTCTCACTTTATTTGAATTCCCAAAAACTCTAACTTATTTATTGAGTTTTATTTTCTTGAATTATAATTTTTGAGTTAATTAATATAATCCTTACATAAGGCGTTTATTTTGTAAGTTATTTTCCACCTTAAATATACCTACTAAAAGACATGAATTTAAATACTTAAAATTTAATAATATAAATAAATAAGTTATTCATCTAAAAATTTTGCCTAAGGCCTAAAATATTATTGGCCCGACCCCTCCAATTATCCGTAGTACATTTTGCAAGAGTGAATCGATAAGATCTTGTACTTTATAAGAGGTTTTGGTTGTAAACAAATATAAAAATAACCTTGACATCAATAAGTAACAAGAAAATTTTGAAAGGACAAAATGCTTTGTTGGAGTTTTTTGTAAAAATACTACTGATAAGTCAAAAAGAAAGTCTTACTATTTTATTATTTTCATTTTTTAAAATATTTTTCTTGACTCATCAAAAATTCTTTTTTTGGTTTTTCACTTAAAAAAATGAAATACAAAAATTTGTTTTACCTAAAAATTTGTTGACTTAAACAGAAAAATCACACTAAAATTTCTTCACTCTTTATAAACAAATAGAAACACGCNTCACTTAAAAAAATGAAATACAAAAATTTGTTTTACCTAAAAATTTGTTGACTTAAACAGAAAAATCACACTAAAATTTCTTCACTCTTTATAAACAAATAGAAACACGACACCTAAAAATAAATAGGTTAAGTACTTATATTAATTAATGTGAGTTTTAAATGAGTTGAGTGATATGACTCATTTTATTTAAATGGTTTAAGACGAATTACAAATGAGTATCCATTTGATTGAACATTTATTTTTTTATTAAATAACAAATGGGTAGTCGGCCCCGGACCCACCCTAACCCTAGACTTGGACTCGACCTCGAACCGTTTATGTGTGTGTGGTTCTTATGTGTTAATGTGTGTTTGCGTATTTGTGTGTATGTGTTGGTGTGTTTGTGTATTTGTGTGTATGTGTTTGGTGTTTTAGTATGTGTGTGTTTTGGTATATTAGTGTGTCTGTATTTTAGTGTATTAATGTACTAGCTATTACTTGTGATTGAAGACACAGAGTAATAAAAAATGATAAACAATAAACATATTTGTATTCATATTTAAAATTAAATTATAAATATAGAAGAGAGATAAATAAATTTAAATATTAGTTGTAGTGGGGGGGGTGAAAAGTGGTGGGTGACAGTGGTAGTGGTAGGAGACACTGTTAGTTGTGGTGGGTGACAATGATAATGGTGGTGGTGGTGGCGGTGATGGTGGTTGGTAGAGCCAATGTTGGAAATGGCGACAGTGGTGATGATGGTGATGTTGGTGGTGGTGGGGGGAAGGGCGGCGGTGGTGATGGCGGTGGTGGTGGCGATAGTGATGGTAGAGGTAGTGGTGGTGGAGGTGGCGGTAGTAGAGGTAGTGGTGGAGCAGTTTCAAACACAATTTTTTTTAAAAGTACTTATAAAAAATAATTTGTAGATATACTTTTAAAAAGTTACTCCAAATACATTCTTAGGGCTTATTTTTCCTATTAAATTTAGGGTGTTAATATTATTCATTGAATTAACTTTAAAGTAAAATTTAAAGCGATTTGAACCGTGAAAAACAAAAGTCATTTTGTTTATCTTTTGAAATTTGAATTGTAAACTACTTTATTATATAGAATATGTATTTTGATGTATTAGTGTGTGTATTTTATTTGATATATTAGTATGTATTTATATTTAAAATTTTAATTATTTTACTGTTTAATAAATTTAATACAACTTATTATTATCCAACCCCATTTATTAAACTAGTTGAAAGTAAATTAGATTTGTTTTGCACTAAATTCAATTTAAACCAATCTACAATCAAGGAAACTCAACCCAACTTTACCCCATCCATTTGCCACTTCAATCCATTAAGAGAAAATATACATTACATCATATCATCACGGTGTAATTATTTAATTATAGAATAATAACTTCTATCCATTTAGAGAAAATATTAATTATAACGGTTACATTTTATCATCACCGTGTAATTATTCAATGATAGAAAAATTAGTTGGCAAGTGGAGCCTACAAAAATACTTATTGCATGACATAAATGATTAATTATTTAATTATGTGGATCCACAATCATGAGTAATGTCTTATA